TGACAAAACAGTATGAACATTGACGTCCAACCCTGACCAGTACATGTGTTTTCAAGGCCTAGTCCTGAGTAGACAGGATGCCCCAAATCCTAGCTGAGGCCCTGCTGCCTGCCAGCCGCCGCCAGCTCGCCGCCGCCAGCAGCGCGCTAGTCGCTGCCAGCTAGCCGCCACCAATAGCTTGCCCGCAGGGCACTGCCGCCAGCCCGCTGCCAGCTCGCTCGCTGATAGAGCCTAGACACAAATTATAGCACCCACCCTCCTGATTTTGCCTGAATTTTGTACTGTACCCAGGGTGTTATATCTGGGGTATTCTGGTACTTGACCGCACCGTATTTAGGTAGGGTGTATGTTGTTTAACCACCCAAATTGCATCAGAAACAGAAACCCGTGAAACGATTATGAACCTGATTCTGTTGCGAATCACGTACACCCCCATCTCAAGAACCAGTTACGTACACTACATCTCAAACTAAACCGAGAAATCTCTCAAACTTCATTCAAAATGATAATGGCACACAGATAAACTTGGATCCTACAGTCCCAGAGCACGTTTTCGCATTGTAGTCGTAGAATTTTGGAATTGCTGTAGCCATAGTTCCACCATAGAAGCGGTAAGCTGCTGAACACGCCATTGTTGGTGAGACTGGCTTAACCCTGCCCTTTTTGCACGCGCCCAAACTGAATGACCAATACTCAGCTCTTAGGCAAATCTGGGATAGCAAGAATCATGCGAAAGGTGAACATGAAGATCAGCGCACAGGGAGAGCCCGGGATTGGCAAATGAGAATTGATAAGAGAATAAGAATCGAGGAAAGGCGATGAGGACAAAACTCTTATGCATGAAATCGCAGCGAGCACAATAGTCTCCCCGATTGTTCTCTGAATCGCACATGATGGCGCCCTACAAAAAAACCACGTACCCATAAAGTTACAAAATCCACTTCCTCCATGCTCTTTCATGTCCCCCTCTCAAACCCACCCTCTTCCCCCACCCCCCCTTATCCCTTTTCCAAAAAAAGTTTTGCCCCACCGCTCTCACCTGCACGCCAATCTTGCTGCCCACAACAGAGGCAGATGCAGGAATAGTGTGGGAGCAGGTAAGGCCGGGATTGTTACGGTAGAGTTCAGCCCGCGAGTTTCGGCTGACCTCCGAGCTCCTTTGAAGCAGCCGGTCGCACGTGTCTTGAGGTGTCAGCAAGCCGTATCGCACACACTCGGGCACGGTGAAGGCGAATGCAGCATTGCGCTCGAGGCACACTGAGCGGCCCGCCTTGATAGGCTTGGAGCAGTCAAGGCCGGGGTTGAGAGCGGCAAGATCTCCCTCAGTCAAGTTGAGCTGCTTGCTGACGGATGAACAGGTGTCTCCCTGGATAGTTGAACACAGGCAGGGAGAGTGCGCTGGTTGCATGCATGCTCATTGGTGTTGACAATACGAATAATGCAATGTGCTGATTTGACTGCACAAGCTGGTTGAGTGCCATGGTGTGGTGAATCAAGGGCACCATATCTCACATTGAGGGTGAAGAAGAAGGCAGTGCAGGGTGTGGTGGGAGTGCCATCTAGCTGAAGGGCAATACCCAAGGGCAATGGTTGGTCGCAATCAATGACCTGCATTGTGAACCATAGGCAAGGAATGTGGTAGCGTGATGAAAGAAACATATTCCTAACAGGCCCTAGAGAGTAAAGATGTCAGAACCTTACGAACCGATAGAAAACGTCAAGTGAGTGACAGAGCTGAAGCCTGAAAGTGTCCCGGTTATTGGCGGTTGATACTATATGTAGTGGATTTGCAACAACTAGGAAAATGGTGATGTAACTGCTTGCATTCGACACGCCTCACAACATGGAGGTTCAGGCGTTTGTACTGAATGTGCTTGTGGAAAAAAAATGCTGCGATTATATTTCTTCTTTATTTGTGGGAGGCTTGATACAAGTGTGGAAAATATTACGAGGCAAAGTGTGGTGTATGTACCTATCCACCTCTCACCAAGCCTCCTAGAAGAAGTAACAGGCGCAATGAAGTGAGAAGAAGCTCAAATCTGAAGTGAAGTCAGCAAGTCGAAAGAAGGCTAGCCCACAACCCACTCTGTCCTAGATAAATACAGCCCCTTCTTCCCACTGCTCCCTCACCCAATCCTTACCGCATTCTGGAGTGTGAATTGATCCAATGGAAGGCCGACAAGTGGATAAATATCCGAACACCACCAATTGTCTCCACTGACTGTCATGGTGGTGGCTGTGGTATTAGCTGAGACATAATAGAGAGTGGGGGCATCAACAAATGGAATGGAGGGGGGGTTAAAGTCAGAGAAAGACTGAGACAAGGTAGTTAGTTTCAAAGCAATCTAGTTAGCTGAGGTTGCTTCACCTGGATCGCAGGTGGGAAAGTTGTAAACAGTAGTGCTTTCGATGTAGTTGGGAGGGCAGATGCAGGAGTAGGCGCCCCTGCCATCGTTGATGCATGTGCCCACGTAGCAGGGGTTCTTGAAGTACGACCCGCACACGTCCACTGCCAAAATCGTATCGGGTGGTGGAAGGGGATAGAGGGGGAGAGGTAGATGAGAGAGGGGTATAGGGACAAGAGGGACATGAGCGCACAGGGGCATGGGAGTGAACGAGACTGTTTGAGTTGATGGTCTAAACCACCATTGCGCAAATTCATTGCCTAAGTCGCGGAAGTTCACACTTCATTACAGCCTAAACTTACCATATGCACATGTGTTGGAGCCATATCCATTCGCAACCTCAACAAAAGGCTGGATGGTCGCTCCGTAAATATTGCAGGTGCAGTTGTTGCCGCTATCTATAGTCGCCTTGCATGCAAACCGGCCGCACGGGTTCATGCTGGGCTGCAGATCCCCATCGCCCTGAAAGCTGTTTTGGCCACAGGGGTCCCCCGGAACTGGAAGGTGATAGAGGGTAGGTAGGAGGGGATGGGAGGAATCCGTGATACTCTAGTTTTGAGGCGCCTCAAAACTAGTCTCTAGACGCACATGAACTTGGAGACCACGGAGCAACGAAAAGGGTGCAGGAAATGGAGCGTACAGTTCATGCCACTGTACCAGGAGTCACAGCAACTAATCATTAATTAGTAAAAATATGAGTCTGCCAAGCTTGTCTTCACGCATGCCCCGGTGCTGGCACGTTAAATATCCCATATTTACCCAAAGCTTACCTAACCAACCGTGTGTTATGAGTCTATTTTTGAGTTGACTAAAAGATAGACTCATAACTCACGCATAACCAGTGCGGGCACTTGAGTAGCCCGTCTTTGCCCCAAGCTTACCTAACCAATACTAGAGGTCCATGACGAACCAAATGGACAGCTTCACCTAGCCTGGGGTGTGTTGGATAACAGGCTGGCCTTGGCCCTGATATGGACAGGCAAGTATTGAGTTTATTTATTCCAGGTCAGTTTAGGTTACTTTGTTGAGGATTTCTCCTTATCCGGACAACACAGCCTATTAAAAAAATAACTGTACACATGAAGTTTACGTATGTAAACCCAGCCAGGTATAGAAAAATACACGCTGTTTCTTCCAAAATGCATGTGTCCAAAGATGCCACCCCAAAATAGACCAGATCTTGCACAGAACATCTTCATGAAATTCATGCATAGGCTCGGCATACCAATGATCCGCCAAAGAAAGGCATTGCATATTGCGAACTTGACGGTAAGGCTTGTTGCCGGGTAACTTTTAGGGACACGAAAGAACGAGGGGCTCACATTGCCAATTGCCCATAACTTCGTCAGGTTTTAGTAATTTCTGGGAAGTTCTGTTAACGTGAACGAATGTTCACATAAACATTATGGCTCAAATTAGGTTTAAATGGGCTTTCACCCAGACCACCACTACGGACTGTATCTCGACACTTTCTTGACCATACCACCTACAACCAAGACCCTAGGGTAGACATCATCACAGGATGGGCTCATACCGGCCCGTCACGAGCCATCCCGGGCTGTCCTCAAAGAGGACGGGGCAGGCGGCCGCCCTCGCCTCGGGCCCATGGCGTTTCGTCTGCCATTCCGCACGGATCTGGTGTTTTGCCCCTGATCCACGGGATTCCTGGCATTCAGCTGGCCGCTCCACGCCGATTGGATAATTTTGCCTACCGATCCATGTGGATCTCGCGTTTTGATGTCCGATCCCCGCGGATTGGATCGTTTCGCCTGCCGATCCGTGAGGATCTGGAGTTTCACCACCCGATTCGTGTGGATCTGGAAAATGCTTTGACCTTATATTTGAAAAAATAGTTCAGCACGACTCAGGTCGAGCAGGTCATCGACGGGCCACTTAGCTCGCCGGCCTGTCCCTGGCTCGTCATTGTCATCGTCATCCACGAGCTGGGCCAGTTTTGAGGCGCCTCAAAACACGAGCTGGGCCAGGCTCAACGAAAGAGTCTATTTTTTAGGAGCCTAAAAAATAGACTCTGTCCCTGGCTCGTCATTGTCATTGTCATCCAGGAGCTGGGCCAGGTCCAACAAAAGAGTTCACCTAGCCGTGGTCCCATCCCTCTACCCGTGTCTATTCTCGGGTTCACCTATGTAAGTTTCACTTGGTCCTCTAAACCGTGACTCACTAGCTACAGAACCCTCGAACAGGGTGGCTCCTGTAAGGAGGACGACGGCCAACATCGACCGGAGCACGTGAGCTTCTATGCCCAGGTGTGGATGCCTAAACAGCAAACACACCAACAACGGCAGCGTTTCACAGCGGCTAGTAAGTTCCAGCGAAATTGAATGAGGAAGGGCTATGCAAGTCCTACTGGCAGCGGTGTGTTATGAGTCTATTTTTGTGTCGACTAAAAAATAGACTCATAAAACAATGAATGAGGAAGCGCTATGCAATAATGCAAGTCCTACTGCCAGCAGACCCATGGCTGGTTCAGCTAGCAGACCTGCTCACTCTTTACTCTTCACAAAGTTGAAGACATTTCAGTCTTAAAATGGGGTGGATTTTTTTTAATTAATTAATTAATTAATTTGTTTGTTTATTTATTCAATTATTTATTTATTTATTTATTTATTATTATTATTATTATTATTATTATTATTATTATTATTATTATTATTATTATTAATTTTAAACCCAAGGTTTAGATGCCTCACTCTTGATGATTGGGTAGATGCCAGGCAGCACGTTGATGCCACACACGCCATCCCCTCCCTGAATGTCGATGCGCATGTGGCCCATGTCACCCCACTCCACTCCCCACGAGTTGCGGATGATCCAAAACGGAGGAGCAATGCGGTTTTGGCTGCCATCGTCTCTTGTGATGAAGTACCCAATAACGAGTACAACATGGTTCAGACTCCCAGTGTAGCACTGAGGATCTTGGTATTTGAACGTCTGCAGTAATAAGGGGCCGGCACATCCATGTTCAAGAGCATGAATTCGAGAAGTATAGTGAAGCTTGCTGGCGTTTTGTTGCTTGGTTTTGGAGACAGGGATTGCCCCTCTTTACAATGCTGACAGTTGTCTGTATGCGTAGCATATATGCGAATGTATGCGCCATTTACAAGAGGATCACGATGCACCATACCAAGTGAGTCCGGCAATGACTCACCCCATCATAGCTGACAAACGTAGCAGCAGAAGCCTCGATGTGAACCACCACTGGCTGGCGCTGCACTGCCAGCATGAGCCCCACATACCCCTTGAACTGCGAGCGCTCAAATGCCTGCACTGGATACCTTGTTGCCTTGGGCCACGAGATTGCATGGTTGTTGGAGGGGAGAGGAGTATTAGTGGAGGAAGAATTGAAAGAAGGGACGTGATTCTGAGAGGGTACTAAATGGGAAAGGAAAACCAAAAATGGAAAGGAAAACCAAGAATGGAAAGGAAAACCAAGAATGGAAAGGAAAACCAAGAATGGAAAGGAAAACCAAGAATGGAAAGGAAAACCAAGAATGGAAAGGAAAACCAAAAGCAAATTCAAAGGAAACGAGATCAAGGAAGGACAAACAAGGAAAGGTAATGTGGCACGAGGAAATAAGAGAAGGAAAAAACATCTTACAGCAAGAGATGGCTCAACACATCACTGACCAAGAACTTGCCTGTTCTGTCGAATGAGGTGAACTACCTTAAGTTTGAAAGTCTTGAAAGAGCAAGCCAGCAAGTCTCGTGGAAGGCATCCACCTACCAGAAGCGTCACCTCACTTAGGACATTCTCATTCTGTTTGCCCTACCGGGTTGCTTTCTCCTATGAGGGCACTGCTGCCATCAAGAGTGACCAGCTTCTCAAAGGCCTCTGTTGGGGAGCCTCCAGCCGTGCACTTGTCGGTGTCGGTCAGCCCCATGGCTGCAAAGAGTGCTTCCACTGACAGCTGGGGGGCTGTCTGTAGCCTTGCAATGCCGTGTGCTGCCTCCACACTTGCCACCACCGCATACGCCCAGCAGGCACCTAAAAACAAGTAGATAAAGAAAAAAAAGCAACGAGCATGTGATAAAATAAACAGTAGTATAGTGAAATGGAAAGGCTGCCCTGAACCAGAAGTAGAGACACAATTCACTTCACATGCTAACCCTCTTCCACTCACTGCAATCCTTTTGGTTCTTGACAGGCCAGCCCAGGAAGGGCACGGAGTCCCAGGTGTGGAAGTCACGGATGCGCCACGAGTCCTGCTTGTTGGCCGCCACAACGTAGTCCGCACTCACATAGCGCGAGAAGGGGCTTGCTAAAGGTGGGGCAAACGTGGCCACTGATAACGAGAGGCCACGGGCTGCTAGAGGTTAGGAGGGGTAGACAAAGCGAGTGAATTGAGAGATATATATGTCCATCGATGGAGGGACGTACGGATCAGACTTGGTTGGAAGATGCTGCCACACATGCAAGTTCTTCCTCAACAAATCGAATTTGCACTGAACTCATTCTCATTTCTCCTTCGGGTTTCCCTGCTGGTCAATTTTTTCATCCTACCAGCTTGCTATTGACATTGCCATGAGGCGACGATAATTATAGGTTGCCACATAGCAAACCACTGACCTTGCTCTTCGAGTTGGACTGACTTGGGTGGACGAAAGCCTGTGAGGAGACAAACAAGAAAGAATTGAGAGCAGCCAAGAGTTGAGATGATAGTTTCGTTGAGTCTTGTGCCGAGGGGAGAACCACAACACTGGCTGGCAAAGGCAAGATCAGTGCTCAGTGCCACCACCACTACATTGCTGGTGGTGGCAACAGCTTTGTGTTTACCAGTAACATCAGACCCCATCGTCCTCATTGCCACCACCACTACATTGCTGGTGGTGGCAACAACTTTGTGTTTACCAGTAACATCAGACCCCATCGTCCTCATTGCCACCACCACTACATTGCTGGTGGTGGCAACAGCTTTGTGTTACCAGTAACATCAGACCCCATCGTCCTCATTGCCACCACCACTACATTGCTGGTGGTGGCAACAGCTTTGTGTTTACCAGTAACATCAGACCCCATCGTCCTCATTGTCGCCACCACTACATTGCTGGTGGTGGCAACAGCTTTGTGTTTACCAGTAACATCAGACCCCATCGTCCTCATTGCCACCACCACTACATTGCTGGTGGTGGCAACAGCTTTGTGTTTACCAGTAACATCAGACCCCATCGTCCTCATTGCCACCACCACTACATTGCTGGTGGTGGCAACAGCTTTGTGTTTACCAGTAACATCAGACCCCATCGTCCTCATTGTCACCACCACTACATTGCTGGTGGTGGCAACAGCTTTGTGTTTACCAGTAACATCAGACCCCATCGTCCTCATTGCCACCACCACTACATTGCTGGTGGTGGCAAATCGTCCTCATTGCCACCACCACTACATTGCTGGTGGTGGCAACAGCTTTGTGTTTACCAGTAACATCAGACCCCATCGTCCTCATTGCCACCACCACTACATTGCTGGTGGTGGCAACAGCTTTGTGTTTACCAGTAACATCAGACCCCATCGTCCTCATTGCCACCACCACTACATTGCTGGTGGTGGCAACAGCTTTGTGTTTACCAGTAACATCAGACCCCATCGTCCTCATTGCCACCACCACTACATTGCTGGTGGTGGCAACAGCTTTGTGTTTACCAGTAACATCAGACCCCATCGTCCTCATTGCCACCACCACTACATTGCTGGTGGTGGCAACAGCTTTGTGTTTACCAGTAACATCAGACCCCATCGTCCTCATTGTCACCACCACTACATTGCTGGTGGTGGCAACAGCTTTGTGTTTACCAGTAACATCAGACCCCATCGTCCTCATTGCCACCACCACTACATTGCTGGTGGTGGCAACAGCTTTGTGTTTACCAGTAACATCAGACCCCATCGTCCTCATTGCCACCACCACTACATTGCTGGTGGTGGCAACAGCTTTGTGTTTACCAGTAACATCAGACCCCATCGTCCTCATTGCCACCACCACTACATTGCTGGTGGTGGCAACAGCTTTGTGTTTACCAGTAACATCAGACCCCATCGTCCTCATTGCCACCACCACTACATTGCTGGTGGTGGCAACAGCTTTGTGTTTACCAGTAACATCAGACCCCATCGTCCTCATTGCCACCACCACTACATTGCTGGTGGTGGCAACAGCTTTGTGTTTACCAGTAACATCAGACCCCATCGTCCTCATTGCCACCACCACTACATTGCTGGTGGTGGCAACAGCTTTGTGTTTACCAGTAACATCAGACCCCATCGTCCTCATTGCCACCACCACTACATTGCTGGTGGTGGCAACAGCTTTGTGTTTACCAGTAACATCAGACCCCATCGTCCTCATTGCCACCACCACTACATTGCTGGTGGTGGCAACAGCTTTGTGTTTACCAGTAACATCAGACCCCATCGTCCTCATTGCCACCACCACTACATTGCTGGTGGTGGCAACAGCTTTGTGTTTACCAGTAACATCAGACCCCATCGTCCTCATTGCCACCACCACTACATTGCTGGTGGTGGCAACAGCTTTGTGTTTACCAGTAACATCAGACCCCATCGTCCTCATTGCCACCACCACTACATTGCTGGTGGTGGCAACAGCTTTGTGTTTACCAGTAACATCAGACCCCATCGTCCTCATTGCCGCCACCACTACATTGCTGGTGGTGGCAACAGCTTTGTGTTTACCAGTAACATCAGACCCCATCGTCCTCATTGCCGCCACCACTACATTGCTGGTGGTGGCAACAGCTTTGTGTTTACCAGTAACATCAGACCCCATCGTCCTCATTGCCGCCACCACTACATTGCTGGTGGTGGCAACAGCTTTGTGTTTACCAGTAACATCAGACCCCATCGTCCTCATTGCCGCCACCACTACATTGCTGGTGGTGGCAACAGCTTTGTGTTTACCAGTAACATCAGACCCCATCGTCCTCATTGTCACCACCACTACATTGCTGGTGGTGGCAACAGCTTTGTGTTTACCAGTAACATCAGACCCCATCGTCCTCATTGCCACCACCACTACATTGCTGGTGGTGGCAACAGCTTTGTGTTTACCAGTAACATCAAACCCCATCGTCCTCATTGCCACCACCACTACATTGCTGGTGGTGGCAACAGCTTTGTGTTTACCAGTAACATCAGACCCCATCGTCCTCATTGCCACCACCACTACATTGCTGGTGGTGGCAACAGCTTTGTGTTTACCAGTAACATCAGACCCCATCGTCCTCATTGCCACCACCACTACATTGCTGGTGGTGGCAACAGCTTTGTGTTTACCAGTAACATCAGACCCCATCGTCCTCATTGCCACCACCACTACATTGCTGGTGGTGGCAACAGCTTTGTGTTTACCAGTAACATCAGACCCCATCGTCCTCATTGTCACCACCACTACATTGCTGGTGGTGGCAACAGCTTTGTGTTTACCAGTAACATCAGACCCCATCGTCCTCATTGCCACCACCACTACATTGCTGGTGGTGGCAACAGCTTTGTGTTTACCAGTAACATCAGACCCCATCGTCCTCATTGCCACCACCACTACATTGCTGGTGGTGGCAACAGCTTTGTGTTTACCAGTAACATCAGACCCCATCGTCCTCATTGCCACCACCACTACATTGCTGGTGGTGGCAACAGCTTTGTGTTTACCAGTAACATCAGACCCCATCGTCCTCATTGCCACCACCACTACATTGCTGGTGGTGGCAACAGCTTTGTGTTTACCAGTAACATCAGACCCCATCGTCCTCATTGCCACCACCACTACATTGCTGGTGGTGGCAACAGCTTTGTGTTTACCAGTAACATCAGACCCCATCGTCCTCATTGTCACCACCACTACATTGCTGGTGGTGGCAACAGCTTTGTGTTTACCAGTAA